TTAAGAAAACAGTTTGTTTATCCTTTTTATGTATGCAATGTTCAAACTGTTATAATTGGTGCAGATTTTTTACATTATTTTAACCTACAACCAGATCTTAGAAATCGCCGCTTAAATGATACACCAAAATAAATTCTTATGGTATTTTACATGTTGCTAGTACATATTCAGTGAAATCTGTAATTTGTAATAATCATTATGCTAAGTAGTTAAATGAATTTCTAGTATTGTTCAAGCTCCTTGTGCAAACAAAATTGTCAAATATTTAGTTCAGCATCATATTGAAACTTTTGGCGCTCCCGTTTTTACCAAACCACGTCGGCTTGCATCCGATCATTTGAAAATTGCAAAAACGGAATTTCAACATCTGTTAGATTTAGGCCACATTCGTCCATCTAAAGCAATTATGCTTCGCCACTACATATGGTCCCTAAAAAAGATATGAATGATTGGCATCCTGTTGGTGATTTTATTTGGGTATAGCAGAGCCCTTAATGCTCAGACTAAAAAAGACAAATATAAAATCCCTAGTATTATTGATTTCACAAGTGAACTCCATGGGTGCAACATATTCTCCCATGTTGATTTAGTGAAAGCATTTCATCAAATTCCGATTGCTCCCGAGGATGTCCATAAAACTGCTCTCTGCACACCATCTGGACTTTTTGAGAGTACTCAGATGCAATTTGGTTTGTGCAATGCATCAAGCACTTTTCAAAGGTTTATCGATGAGGTGACGAGAGGTTTAACCGGTATATATGCATTTTAAGATATTTTAATTGCCACAAAGAGCATATTAACAATCTATGAGCTCTTTTTCAAAGATTAGATCATTATGGGTTAGCAATCAAACCCTCAAAGTGTACATTTGGAGTTCCTACCTTAGATTTCTTAGGATATAAAAAAGATATTTATCCCATTCCAGATCGAGTTGATGCCATTTCTAAATTTCCTAGACCAACAAGCTTAACACAGCTTTGCAGATTCCTTGGCCTATTCAATTTTAACGTAGATTTGTGCCACATGCAGCGCACATTTTGTCACCTTTAATTAAGCTTCTCGAAGGTCATTCTAACAAAAAGAAATCATTCTGTCCAACTAAGAAGACTGAAAATCCTCTCCTGTGGTCTGAGGATGCTGAAAAGGCATTTTTAGCAGCTAAAGAAGCTCTTACAAAAGCTACCCTTTTAAGACATCCAATTCCTGGTGCTCAACTCAGTCTTTGGACTGATGCATCTGATGTTGCTATTGGCAGCTCACTAATGCAACTTCAAAATGATCAATGGAAATCAATAGCATTCCTTTCTTTAAAATTGAATAACAGTCAATGAAAAAAGTCTACATATGGCAGCGAACTTCTGGCAATATATGAGTCTATCAGGAAATTTTGGCACATGTTAGAAGGTCGCACTTTTATCATATTTACCGACCTAAAACCACTAACATTCGCTTTCAGACAAAAAGCAGAAAAGCGCTGTCCTCAACAACTGATACACCACTCTCAATTTTCCACCGATATACAATATGTTAAAGGTAGGGAAAATGTTATTGCTGACACATTCTCCTGAATAGAAGTAGATTCTGTTTCTTGCTCACCTATTCTGAATTTCAAACAGTACAACTCACAGACCATGAACTACAACAATTACTAACTTCTAAATCTTCTTCTTTGAAGCTCTCCAAACAGTATTTTCCGCTTGAAGATATTGATCTCTCTGTGACTCCACAATCAATGTCCCTCGTCCTTTCATTCCCTTTTCATTTAGACCTATCATCTTCCAAAGTATTCACAACCTTTCGTATTCATGTACATCTGCCACTTCAAAATTGATATGCAGATGTTATATTTGGCCTAACATGCACTCTTTTATCAAAAGCTCCGTGAAGGCTTGTGAGAAATGTCAACGTTCCAAGATGCATAAGTATACGAAATCACCAATTTCGACATTTTTACTTCCTGATGCCAGATTTTCTCATATTCACATAGATTTTATTGGCCCATTACCAATTTCTGAAGGTTATCAGTATTGCTTGACCATAATCGATCGCTTCATGCGATGGCCGGAAGTAATTCCCACATTTGATATGTCAGCTGAAACAACTTGTAAGCTCTAATTAGTGGATGGATAGCTCGTTTTGGATGCCCTTCCACTATCACTACTGACCAGGGTCGAAACTTTGAATCACATCTTTTCAGGGATTTCACGAACTTGCTGGGCACTCACTGTATTCGTACCACTGCCTATAGACCTCAATCAAATGGAATCATTGAACGTTTCCATCACCAACTGAAAAACAGCATAAAATCGCAAGAGAATCCTCCCTGGACAGAATCATTACCTCTTATACTTTTGGGTATTAGATCTTCCGTCAAAGACGACATCCAAGCAACTTGTTCTGAGTTAGTCTACGGTACTACCTTAAGACTGCTTTCAGATATTTTGTGCTTAGATCAGCTTCCTCTACCATCCCTGACACCAACCTATGTAAATCGTTTATGATCTATATTGCAATCTCCGATTCCCATCGCAACATCAAAACACTGTTCAGAGCCTGTCCACATTCATCCATCTTTAAAATAGTGTTCTCATGTTCATTTGAGAATTGACTCAGACAAGCCTCCTCTTCAACAAAAATACTCAGGTCCTCATCCAGTCATTGACTGATATGACAAAACCTTTATCATCTCCGTGCACGGTAAAAATCAAACTGTTTCAATTGATCGACTCAAACCTGCATTTTTCATTAGTGACAAAACCTTTGTCCCTAAAACTAAACCTTCCAATAAGACAGACACATTGAAACCTACCATATCAAATGTTCCTAAAACTATCACAAAATCCGGATGACATGTCAAATTCCCTCAACATCTGTCTACCACCTACTATATATAACATATATATTGTTATTCATTCAATATTTCATTATGCAGTTTAATTTATTATGTGTTTTATATTGTACCTTTTACCTTCACATTTATCATTGTATAATATAAATTCTGTATTTTTTTTGTCTATCATTCGGTTTCCCTCACTGGGGGGGGGATACTCTGTGGTGTTGCCATGGAAACACCATACCAAGCTTTGTGAGTTCTGCGCAGGCCCACCTCTGATGAGCTGCGGATGGAGGAGAGAATGGCATGCATGCAGCGGCAGTTTCTTTTTCTCATCGGAATGTCATTATTGATGTGTTAAATAAAGTTTACATAATTTATACTTGTGTCTTGCCTCACCATGAAACCTCTACAGTCCTAATTACTTCATTATTTCATTAACCACATTTCATATTTTAATTTTATAATTTCTTTATGTCATCGTATTAGATTTAAACTCATGATCTAATATCTGGAAAAACCCTCAATTCCAGAATTGCTGAAGTCCTGCTGAGTCCATATCTTAGACTTGGTACTATATTAAAGAAGCAGCCTGGGCTATTGGTGATAACATGCCATAAAGGATCTTTAATAACATGGAGTATCAAGTATAAATGTGTCTGGTGACTAGTGGGACCATTTCTAACATTTTTTTTTAATAGTGCAACATCCCAATGCTGTAAGCCACATAGCATGTTTCTGTGTAAAGAACGCATTTGATTCTGTGAAAGTAGGAGTAATGTCACCTCTCATAGTTCTCATCTCACTCTACTACCCTAAATATGTCTGAAGACTTGCCTCTTGTACTGATTTCATTTCCCACATAATATTGCCACCCACATATCTTTTCAATTCTTCATAGTAACTTCAAGATCTCAGATCATCAAGTAGAAAGTAATAATATTTTTTAACAAGCTAGAATATATTAGTTCTCATTTAAACGGTTACAGAATAACATGCACATAAGAATGCAATATGTATTGGTTAAAAAGGAATATAACATTTATATATAATCATCACTTAGAATTTCCAATCTTGTGCAAATGTCACTTACTGGTTAAAGAACTATTTAACACATGTTCTCGGAGTAGCAGTTATTTTCATGTTATATTACTTTCCAAAGTTTTTCAATCAGTTTAGAGAATGGGACCTTTTAGAAATGCAACCTTTGATTTTTAACATGCTAAAGGCTGAAAATTATAGCAACCACTGCAGAAAATATAGTTAACTTTTAATGCCATGGAACCAGAAGAACAAAACTCAATAATATAATCAAATGGTTACATTAAGAATTTTCATATCTGTTCGTAATGGAATTAAAAATTACCAAGCATTCCAAAAGCATATCAGCATAATTTACATCCATATGACCCAATTTTCAGCAGGAATATTGCAGTCTTAGTTACGATGTATAACAGCATTTGTTTTCTATGTACATTTTTTGCTGCAGAAAAGCTCTAAAAGACCTAATATTACACCCAGAAAAAAATTAGGCAACATGGAAATATTTTGCTATGCTGATATACTGATAGCACACCTTGGTAGAGCCTCATGTTATAAATGGAACAAAAAAAATGGTGGACTACCGCACAATTCCATGAAAGGGCCATTGCTTAATATTTTTTTGTTAAGGTTTTGTACTCCTTTGAGCTCCATGGTACCAATATGCAGGGGAAGATCACACCCCTCAATTTTATGAATAATCAATTAGAGCTGAAAAACAAAATTCAAATTAAATTGTAATCAAAGCCTAGGTTTACAGAATACACAAAGTTAACCTAAATGTTTAATATTGAAGAAATAAAAAAATAAAATACATATCTGAGGATTAAAACTTTACTTAATCCTCAAAGAAAATAAAAGATTAACAAAAGTACTCCTTTAAAGGTGATTAAATCCTTTTCATTTTTATAATGCCCAACAAATAGGATTCTTAAACTAAAAAATTTAGAAAACTTTTTGAGCATAATAAAAACTAATATATATATATAATATATATTGAATTGAAAAAGTAATAATTTTGGCAAATAAATTCAATCAAAAAAAATCAAACTTAAATGTATTACATGAAATAAAGAATATAAAATCATAATAAAATGAAATGAAAGTAGCACGGAGAATTACTTACAGATATTTTAGTGAAGACATACAACACAAGTGACAAAACAGCAAGGTAGGTTCTAATGCGTAAACCTCCAAATCTTTTTGACATGTATTCTGGGAGTGTACAGACCTAGAAATATGAGCAAAATTAAAGTTTTGAGAATCTATGTATATCTATTTTCCTGAATTTAAACATATGCTTAAAAGATAAATGCTCATTTCATTCTTCCAAAAAGGCAACAGACAAGTTTATTTTATTTAATTATTTATTGATATTAAAAAGTTAAAAATATTAATAATAAATTCAATATTAATGTGACATAAAAATATATTTAACAAAGTGTAACAATGCTTTAACACATTCTAAGAATAATTTTTAGAATAACCAGGGAAATTGTTTAAACATCTGAGCATCTCCAGGTTGAAAAAAAAAATACCCTGGCATTTTTCCCTGGCATATTAACTCAAAGTAACTGGAATTCTTACAAAACTAATTCCATGTATATCAAATAATGTATTCTACTTTTATGAAATTCTATGGAATCAATATTTTAAAAGTAAATGTGGTTTTAAAGATAAAATTAATTACCAATTAATTTTGATTGTTCAAAACTAATTCCATGTATATCAAATAATGTATTCTACTTTTATGAAATTCTATGGAATCAATATTTTAAAAGTAAATGCGGTTTTAAAGATAAAATTAATTACCAATTAATTTTGATTGTTCATATTTCAGTAAACTAAATAGAATTAAAAAATATATATAATTTTAAATCAATGACTTTTCTCAGTAAGTTAAATATTTAATGTTACATACAATCAACCTGAATTTCTTACTTTCCCCCCCCCCTTTTTTTTAGTTTTAACTTATGAAAGTTGATTGTTTATAACTCTATAAATTTATGATAAATAACTTAACAAGTGGAATATTCATCTTTCAACCTTACCGTTATACGAAATCAAAGCAGTAAAAAATATTTAAAGCTTAAAAAAATACATTGTTAGAAATTTCAATAAGAAGGTAAACTATACTACAGGTTAGAAGCTAGAGATGTGCGAAATTTATTGTTCTGCTGCAGCAGATATTTCAGTTAATTACGATGAGCATCTGCTCTATATTTTTTTTTATAATTTTACCAATTTCTGCACTCAACATTCACATAATTTCTACACATTAAATGCACCATTCTATTTCTTACAAAAAGTACTCCAGTTAGTAAAATGCTTGAGGTTGTAACTGAAATTGTATTTGTAGTTTAAAAAAGAAATATTAAAAAACAAAATTTCAATGTTTCCAAAATGCATATAAATTATAAACTTAGGCATTCTAAGTACAGTCAAAAGTCGTTAATTCGGACACCCATAATCCGGACCTCAAAGCTACAAACTTTCTGCACATGCGTCGGGTTGACGCATGTGCGTAAGACCCTTACGGCTGCGAATACGTGTGTGCGCGTGCCAAAATACGTTTACGAATGTGCGTTTAATGTATAACAGACGATATAAGCTAAGCTAAAATTATCTAATTCAGTTAATGGTGCAGATTGCGTTGTTCCTTAATCTTCGAATAGGATTCGGCTTATTATTTTTTGCAGACTGTTAGAGCAATTTTATAAAAGTAAGCTTGAACTTTCGATTATGTCAAATAGAATTTCTGATATATATTTACTAATATGTAGAGGATCTACAAAGCGAAAGTATATTTCGAAGTCCATTAAACAAAAAAAGTGGAATTTCTGCAAAAAATGAATAAAGGCATATCCTTTGTTTATCTAAACTTTGTTTATCGTTAACGCCGCTGCGCGCAATGAATTGGAAGTTGAGCTGTCAACACTATCCTTATCTTCAGGGCAGATGTTTTTATTTTATTTGGCTTTTAATTCCTTACTAAATGTAGTATTTCCGTCTTTGATATGATTTAAATCAAATTCTTCGTCAATATAATTTGCTTCCGATAGCGAAGAAAATGACAGAGGTTATTGAAAACGAAAAAATTTCGATTGACAAATTAGTCGGTATTCTCGACACAGCAATTATAGGACTTCAACAGAGGAACTTTGTAACTGAACAAGAAATTATGTCTGTTTATAGAATTAAAGAGAATTTATTATCACATAAAAAACGAAGCAACTTAAACAACTTACTTTGAAAGAAATGTTTAATAAAGTAAACAAATAAATATTAAGCTTTTTTTTTTTTTTGTAAATTTTGATACCCTTTAGTTCATAATTGTTCTTTATTTCATAAATTACGGTTTCATATTTTTAATTTTATAATTTCTGCATGCCATCTTACCAGATTTAAACTGATGATCTATAATCCGGAAAAATCGATAAACCGGAATCACCGAAGTCCCGACGAGACCGGATTAATGACTTTTGACTGTAGTATATATCCAATTAAAGGTATACAAACAAATACAATTTATCATACAAGGCAAGCCACAAAGATGTTACAACTAAACAGAAATGACAATTTAAAGGAGAAGATGTATATCGATGTAGTCCAGATTTCGATTGATATAACTCATACTGATTCAAGTGAAGTTACATTTCATTTGTCAGGCAAGGTGAATTAACACAACTGTGTGACATGTAAGTCACAGACTATCCATATGAACTCTGGTGAGACATACAGGATGCACCAAAAGTAAAAATCTGATGTGATATCTCTAAGCTGGACATAGTGAGGATTTATTTATTTACTTATTTATTGAAGATAATAATGTCACCAGTGAATGATATTTTCATGAAAGACGACATCCCAATTTGCATTTTGTAGTCAAGTTACTTCCAATAAGATGAAGCACCTAGTCTGGTGGTATCTGGATGACACATCTGGAAATTAAAGGAGTGGAAAAGGCAGACCCTAGGTTTGGCCAGCATGACCTTCCAAAATTATGCCTTGCAAATTCTGGTTACTGGAGATTGTAAAAGATAATTGTTTATGCTGTGAAACCAAAAATCCTTAACAACTTCCATCAATGAATTATCAATGTGTTTCAGTCAGTGCCATTGTGCTATGGGCATCATGAGCCAATGAATAGATGCATGCATTCAAAACATGGGGAATCAGTCTCCTTGATCTAGCTCAAGGAGACTGAATTGAAATGACATGAATCTGTGAGATACATTTGGTATCATTGCCATATGTACATATACAACTTGCACTGGAAATTAATACAGCCATTTAAGTGATAATGCTTTCATTATGTGAAAAATACTATAATTCACTGCATTTCAAAAATTAGTTTTAATAACTGCTTACGTAGAAAGAACAATGTATCTATCTCTTGAAAGGCATTTAAACGTTTCATCTGAAATTAACTAAATTTATGCAAATTTGAATTTCTTTTAGTTGTTAAAGTTCAAATTCGTACTTGGATCTTTTCATATTACAAATAGATGTCTTACAACAGCAGTTTTGTTAAATCAGCTTTAACATTATATATATATATATATCCAAATACTTGAGAAATTTTTTTTAAAAATTTGTTTTCTGTTTTCTTCTTTTCTAATAAACCATTAGGTTAAATTTCAAAGATAATACACTAGATCGTGATGGATTCAATTCAGTTTTGAAATAAGATCTCATCTGGTTCTAAAACATTACTTATCTTGAGACTTAGGTTCACTAAAACCTTATGAACTGGGCTATTAAATGGTTAAAACACTAAAAATTTAGTACAATTTGAGCTTTTATTCCTACTGGAACAAGTTAGCAATAAGAGCAATTTTTTACCTTTTTTCATAAGAAAAATGGCCTGTGTATATTATAAACTACAAATGAAATATCTCTAAAGCCCAGTAAACAAACATGAGCCAGCATATTTCCAGAGGCGTAGTTAGGGTTTTCAGCGTCTTGGGACAACTGTAGATTTTGCACCCCTTTCTGTCTGTCAAGAATGGAAAACATTTCATTCTAAAATTTCATAACATCAATTTGGCACCCCCGGGATAGATGTCTCCCCTTGTCCCAACCTAGCTATGCCACTGCATATTTCTAAACATATTTCTTCCAGTGTTTGTAGTGCCTGCACCATGAATAACAACCATGACCACAATGGGACACAAACTGTTGAAAATTGAATTGCCAACAACCGAAAAAATTATATATGGAAATTACATGCTACATATACCCATGCTCAATTTCATTTTACTATTCTGCTCAGCTAAGGTTATTATTATTGTCTCAAAATGATAAATCAATAGATGTGGTTAATGGCTTAACTCTTTGCTCCAATTCATTTTGTCAAGAGCAGTAAAGTTATATGGAAAATCTACCATAAAATAATAGCATAAATAAAACTGTGAAAGCTTCTTGGTCTTAAGCAAGTAGCATTTCCTTCCCTCATTTATATTATTTTTAAGAATGCTTATAGTAATATAGCAGCTCAAGCCAAATTTAAAGCAAAATTGTGGTATGGTAATGAACTGCTGTCAAGCAACAAGTTTTATGAGGAAACTTACTGCATCATCAAATAATTTTGTTGCTTCATGTAAACAGGCCCCAATGAATCTAATGCATTTCATCATAACTAAATACTTTTAAAGAATTGATTTTCCACAAATAATTTAATACAAAAATTTTTAACCAAAAAAATTTGATTTCTTACCCTGCTGGCAATGAATACAGGAAGGAAGACCCATCCAGTCAGTTGAATAATAGCCAAAGCCTACAAAACAAATGTTACACTTTTAAAACACCATAAATTTTTATCATATTAACGCAATACTTTTTTTGACTTGCCACCAATTATGATGGGTAGCCATAATTGGACAGACTGAATTTTACTGTAAGCAAACAGTCAATGCTTATTCATGTATAATGAAAAAAAAAAAAAAAAAAATCACTATTTTAACTTTTTCAAAGTAGCATACCTATTTTTTTTTTAAATTAAATTTATCGCATATAATTTTTTACTCCTTTATTTTCAAATTATATGTTTTGTTCGATATGAAATAAAGTATACCATATTTACTTGTGTACTCCTAGCTTTTAAACCAAAATCCTTCCCTCAAATATTCATGTATTTTTTTCCTTTGCAAGGCATTCAGTAAGCAAGCTTCCTTAAATTTTAAAACAGATTCGTCCACATAGTATTTGTTTTTGCCTTACTAATAGATTTGATTATGAATTTGGGATGCAGAGAGAGTAATTAAGCAATTAATGGTTTAGTGAAGAATTTTAATAAAATCAGGATATCTAATGCTCTTGATGGTTCTGAACATCTCTGCAAGTGGGAAGGCAGATTGAATGTGATGAAGATGATGATGACAATGGTGATAACTTGAAAGCTGAAGCAGATGATACAGACAGCAGTTTCAGCAGAGCTGAATGATTTTACACTACAGAGCAGCAGTGGACAGCAGAGCAGGCAAAATTTAATGTACAGTGAAGTAGAAATAAAGATATCTGTTTAGATATAGCAATGTTGTATTTTCACTAGAATAGGCTTCTAAATAAATAATAATTGTGACAGTTACCAGTAGTTCATACATGAATACTTCATTTGTTATGTTCTTAGTGTATTGTATCTTTTGGAAAGTATGCATAATTTTCCCCTCTCAATTTTTGTATGAAAAAATTAGTAAAAAAAAGGTGGGGAAATATGCAAGTAAATGTGGTAAATATTATGTATTTTTACATGTTTTCTAAATCTCTAATTTTGTTATTTTTCTGTTTAGGGGCCACACACGGTATTTCTAAAAATGCTGGTTAGTTTTTTCTTTTTCTTTTTTTTTTTTTTATTTGCTAATCCAACACTGTTTAAGTTGTTTTATTAAGATTGCAACGTAGAGTAGACACTGCAATGTGATCCCATTTATCCATGACTCACATAATTTATGAGGTAATGTTGTATAATATGACTCTCTGAAGATTTGGTACAAAGTTATAAAAAAAGGACTACGGCATTCTAGAAATAGAGCACTCTGGTCGGCCAACCGACGTTGATGAGGGCTACATGTGAGAACTTATGCAAAAAGATCAGTATACAACCACCCGAGAACTTGCTAAGGACTTAGACGTTCATGCCATGTCCATTAGTCATGCTATGCATTACAAAACTTGATTTACAAGTTCAATTGTTGACTCAAACAGATAAGGACAGACGTGTTCGGGCCTGCCCTAATCTACTCGAATATCAAAGCATGGACAAAATTCTAGACGGATCATCGCTCATGATAAAAGTGGATTTATTTCAACAACACAAGCCGAAAAAGGGGTTGGCCTCCACACTGTAAGCCTGTCAGCAACATCACAAAGTGCAATTTGACATGCAAAAGATCATGCTTTGTATCTGGTGAGACTGCTGTGGTATTATCCATAAAAAGCATCTGGGAAAAGGTAAAACCCTCAACAGTAAGGTATAAAGTGAGATGCTAATCCCTGTTGACGCTGCTATCAAGGAAAAACGTCGAACTGAGTTCCTGTGCAAAAAAGGTAATATTCTATCAAGATAATGCAAGGCCACATGTGTCTGCATTCACTAACTAGACTCTGTAAGGACTCGAATGGGATCTTTAGCCATACCCACTATACAGCCCCAAAATTACTCCTTTGTTTCTCACATCTTGTTGCTACATCTTCTTGTTGGTGCTATCTTCCATTCTGCACAGGAGCCTCCAAATGAGGTTGATTGATCTGTTTTTGGATTTGCGACCACCAAGTTTCTGGGTCAAACACTTTGAAAAACTACCAAAACATTGGGAAAAAATTATAGATTTGAGTGGTGAGTACTACCTGCAGTAAAGGTACTGCTTTCATATTTTGTCTTTTTCCTAATTTTATTAAGAATTTTTTTGGCAAAAAACTTATATATTTTAAGGTATTCAGATATTTTTATAATATAGGGAAAATTGGCTCATATCCACATTCACTTGTGGAAAATTTCAAAACATCCAACCCGTTTGCCAAGAAGTTAACTACCTGTATTCAGCAGCTTTACTACTCACTCAACTAGTAAGCTGAATCCATTTAAGAATTTTATTTGAATGCTCTTCAGGATGAAGAGCTAACACAAGGCCGCTGTTAGCAGTAATCCCAGATAATGTGTCTGCCATACAAAAAATGTTAATAGATGATAATCACTGCATCCACCAAATGATACAGAAGGAACTTAACATTGGATCTGCCGCTTTACGAAAAATTATTCATGAAGAACTGCATATGAATAAACTAGTTTGCCATTGGGCTCCCCATAGTTTAAATGAGCAGCAAAAAAAGGAAAGAGTTAGAACCAGTAAAGAAACCCCTAAATTACTTAAATATGGTGGCCACCGCATTATTTCTAAAATCGTCTGGTGATGAAATGTACATACCATTTTTTGATGTTCCAGCATGTCAAGAAAGTGAAGTATGAGGTCTTTGAAAATGCTCCCACTCCCACAATGGTGAAAAGATAACGTGCCATGAAAAAAAATATTGTACGCTGTTTTCTTCAGAAGTTCAGTGCCAGTCAAAGTCATTACACTGGAAGAACAGAAGATAATCACAGCTAACTGATACACTACTGTCTTCCAGAAATTCTTCAAGAAGTGAATGTTAAGAGGACTCGTACTCCACTATGACAATCTATCTTCTCATTCAGCAAGGCTGACAGTTGAGTTTCTTGAACAAAAACATATGAAAGTAATAGAACATCAACCTTATTCACCCAATTGAGCTATGTGTGACTTTTGGCTATTTTATTTTATCAAAAAGAACTTATGCAGACATTGTTTTCATTCTGAAGATGGAGATTGATGAGGCTACAAATGCATTTTTTTCCATCGTATCCAAGAATTGAATGGCTTGAGACATTTAATATTTGGAAAATTTGCCTACATAAGTGCACTGATGTTGGAGGAAACTACTTTGAACACTCTTGAAATTTTGTAAGTACTTTAAAAACCTATGTGAATCTCAAAATTTTCACACTAACCATCCTATAATTTAACATAAGATTTTTTAGATCTGATTTTCTTATGGATGATATACATACCAAGCAATCTTAGTTGATGAATTTCTTGAAATAAGGGCACTTAATAAACAAAGTTGCCAAATTTCTTGGTTTGAATTTCACAAGAAACTTCACAGGACAATTTTTGAATAGTTGTTCAGAGAAAAATTCTCATCCTAATGATCTCAATGGTACAAGAATTATAATGGTAGACAACTAGAAAATGCTCCTTCAAACTTTAACTTCCTTAATGACAGCACAAATTCACCTTTCCCCCCATGACATTTCTTATTAATGGCAAAAGCTTGCAGAATAAAATTTTGCTGTCATATAATATTTCAATTCTTTTTCATAATATGGTTTTGTGTCACATGCACTCAGATCTGAATTTTCAATATTTAGGTAGTGTTATGATGTTATGTGTCATCCAAAATTTCATTTTATAGCTTTTGAGGAAATGATTGTTTCTTCTCCACATAAGGATAACCCTGGATACCAGTATATATTCACAGAAATTCATTCTGAATGAATGATGAGACAGGTGAAAAAATGAGTCATTAGACTGTGTTTAAATAAAAGATGCTACAAAAAATCACTATCAAAACAGTGAGGACTAATAAACAAACCTTACAAATTGCATTATTTTTTATCAGAGTATCTATTAAAATATCCACAAGAAAATGAATGGTTAAATTTGAAATAATGTCGCTGTTGAATAAGCATGGTAAAAACAGAACTGCCTTAAAATTCTTCTCGCATGTAAAAATAGGATTATCGATATTACAATTATCTATTAACCCGTTAGCTGCTGGTGTTGCGTTGACGCAACGGTCAAAATAAATGGCTATATAAATATAACTACCTAAGATATTTTATACCAGCAGATGATTTTGTGTAGGGAATATGATGAAGAGTATTTCTGTAAAAAAATATTTGCCTTCAACAATCATTTTGTTTATAATAATTAATCTCATACTTTAAGCAAAATTTTCGACTGGGTATTTTTGCTGAAAATATTTAATGAAATTCGCAGTCTTTATGAGTGATCCAATTTTAGTCGAGGTCACCGTTTATCAGAACATTACAGCAGTCAGATGTTTACATTTGTGTTGGGAAGGAAGGGAAAACAGGTGTTACACTGACATGCAACGTCAGCAGGAAACAAAGTAATTAATCTCCTTTTTCACTCATTCTTTTCGATGTTCCGGTTCATGTTCTAGCTGCTTTAAAAATGCCTAGAATGAGGTATCTTACATTAAAAGAGGCTCTTCAAAGATTTTTTTGATGAAGAAACAGATGATGATAATGTTAATAATGACCAGAATGAAACTGATATTGTTGTTGTTCCCCCAGAAATTCCAGAAGCTAGTGATAAAGAAGAAAGGAATGACAATGTTTTAAATAATAATAATGATATTTTACCAAATGATACTACTGGGGAAGTTGAAATTCACGTAAGAAGTAAGTTTCCGCCTTCTAAAAGGAGTTTATAGTCATACTAAAATTTTAAAAGCGAAGACTGATATCTTGAAGTGGATAAACAAGGAACTGTTAGTTATGTCTCAGAAGAAACTGAAGAAAGAGAGAGAGAGAAATTATAAAAGATAAATACAAGGTAAAAACTAGTGCGCAAATTTTCGATTTTTTTTGGTTTAGACATTTACTCTCTTTCTCGTTGAACAAACAAATATAATACACTCAGAGAAAAAAAAAAGCCCAGAAATTTATTGCATCTGAAGCCTATATGAGAGATTTATTGGAATATTATTGCTTACAGGATATCATTCTTTACTCAAGAAAAAAATGTATTGGTCTTTTGATAAGGACATTTATGTTCCTGTTGTACGAGAATTGATATCACGTTTGCAGTACAGGAATATGAAGCAGAATTTGCAGTAACAGAATAGTCAAATTGACAATACTGATAAATTATATTGAGGTGAGGACCGTATCTAAACTTACAATATCACCACTTTTTACTACTGGAATATAAAGTCTCTTTAAAGATTTCAGACACGAGAATGCATTTTCCTTTGCAAACTCCTATTGAGAATGTATAATTAGACAGAAATAGATCAGCAACAGGAAGACGTAGTAAATTCGGCATTTAAAAACCATTGCATGGAGATGGTAGACATTTTATCGTAAAGTCCGTTGTTAACAAAAGACTTTGTTGTAAAGAGTATCATAGCCAGACTGTTTACAGATACAAAGTATGTAATGTAGCTTTACATCAAGGTTGTAATCAAGCTTTTCATGCTTGATTTTCATGCTTGCTCAGTTGAAATAATCTGTATTTGTAAAAGCAATACAATGTATATTTTAATATTAAATTAATTATAAGTAAAGTGATTTGCAGATTTATAAAGCATTATACAGCAAAAAAGTAATCCTGCGCTCCACTCAAAAGAAATATCACACGAGTACAATCCTACTCACTAAACATCCGTAGTCTTTATTCCGCTGACGTTGCGCGAACGCAACGCTCGCTTTTTCACAAGTAAGAGCACTTTTTTAAATTTTCAATGTAAATTTATATTATAAATGCTTAATTTAATGTTTTTTATTATTTTCATGAGAAAAGAAACATTCCTTGTAGTTTTGGCGGTTAATTAGTTAAGTTTAAAATGAAAAATAATATTTTTAACAAATATAACATTGTTACTATAAAAACGTGTAGATAATACAGTAAATCTTTTTAATATGTGCTTTGTAACTATCTTTTCTTCAAATGAAACTAACAACCCATGATTTAAATATAAAAGTGGTATCACAAGCTTCAATACTGAATCTTCAGCAAGTAATACTTACATTAAGCTCAAAAGCTCCAACACTTATTCCAGATGCTGCTCCAGAACCTGCTAAACCAATAAAATGTTCACTACCTATATTGCTGGCAAACAATGATGCACCAACCTGTAATAAGACATATATTAATAGCTGAAACAAAATTATTAGAAAGGGATAATGCAGAAAAAGGTGGGATAAGATAAGACATACTGGCAGCCAAAACATAAATCTTCCAGCTAAGAAGAATCCACTTATTGTCGATCGGTTCGAGACACACATAGACTAAAAATAAATAAATAAATAAATAAATAAAATAAATAAATAATTAACAAATTATGCTTTTAATTTTTTGTAGAAATCAGAATAAATTATCAATAAAACAGTATCAAAACTATTTAAGCACTGACTATAAATTATTTCACAATTCAGGAGCTCCAATAGATTCATTCAGTAACCTAAAATTCAGAGTTTCTGAAAACACGTCTTTAATTGCCTGAAATGAATTGATTCGATATTTTAGACTTATAAATTAAAACTAGAAATATTTTTCTCAAATCTGTATTTATCTGTTTGATTCTGTGCTCAAAAGTTAGGAATTTTAATCATTGGAGCATTTACTATGAATTACCTTTATGTTTTCATATGCAGCAAGCAAAATTTATATTTTATCTCGTTGATTAGAACTCTGCATTAAAAAATATTTGCAAATTAGGAAATGCAATTTAAAATTTTTACTTTTCTGTCAATGCTTCATGTACTATTATACTGTACAGCCTCAGTTATCCAAATTAACAGGAACAGGAATAAGTCCAGATAATTTATTTGTACAATTGAAAATGATTATTACAAGCAAAAACTAACTTTTAAGCCTTATATTACTTATTATTATTGAATAGCTTTATCTGTTTTTAAGTAATTTTAACCAAATATGCAGTACTTATAACTAATCCCCACAGCTGTTAATTTTATCATTTAAGAAGCTTTAGTTGCTGCCCAGACCGTATAGTGGTTAGGTACCGAAGAGCCCGGGCTGGAATCGTATGTGTGTGTGTGATTATGGCAAAGCCTAAGAGAAGGGATGCCTTCGTGGAGGACTTTATAAGGGAAACTGGCTCGTATACACGTTACACATGGGGAAAACCACGAAAACGCCCATGCAGCCAGCCCGTTCGCGGGATTCGAACCTCGGACCGAACTACCAGTGTTCAGCAACGTTACCGCTAGGCCGCTGGTGGGCCTCGGGCTGGAATCTGGAGAGAGCATGGATGTTTGTAAATGTATAGTGTCTTTGCAGAATGGGGGTACTCTAAATATATAGTGAGCCAAATGTCCTTTCGAGGCCCAGTCTTCCTGGGGTGCTCTCTATCACAATTGGAGGCGGAACTCAACTAAATCGCACTGTCACCTGCAAGGTGCCCAAGGCTGTTGCCAATGACAGCTGTTATCTTGCGCTCCTTGACACGAGGAATTTCGTGGACTTTAGCTGACTATAGGTCAGACAAATGAGCATTAGTAACAACAACATCAGGACCTGAGGATAGAAGAGATTAAGGATTATTTCAAAAGAACAAATGGTAGCTTTTTTAATAAAGCCAGTGATTACATTAATTACTCACAGTTTTTTAACTACGAGATTTTGCAAGCAGACAAATTTATCTGGCCGATTGCCACTCATATAATCACTGACAGCGACCACAACTTTGACATCAAACTTTTTCATGGGTCCTTATGTTATAGACCCTTTCATGGGTCCTAGTGTCATAGACCCTTTCATGGGTCTTTCCTTTATACATAGTAATTTTATTTGTTTGTATTGTACATTGGGTTAATCTTTGGATTATGGTAACTTGGCAATTTTTTGGCGACCAACCCTGCTACAGCAACCTGCTAGTTTTTGTTTGGACGCCATTTTGTTTTCACGAAGTAAAGGCATTTTCCCTCTCCCCCCCCAACAATCTGCTAGCCGAATTACACTTATGCTAACCTTTTATGGAACAAAAGTGCTTAATCATGACGAAGATTAGGTGTGAAATTGGGACAAAAAGCAGAATTGCCCACTGCTTGCTGCATTTTTAAGAATTGCACATACACGGTATCATCCATGTACAAGTCGACCTATTTTCACTTAAAAAAACATCCCACAATTGCACAAAAATGGCATTGCGCACACTTGACTTTATTCATGTACACTGCTCAAGTCCTAGGCTAGTAACCTTTATCGCCCTTACCAAAATGTCGCCAAACTACTTGTTACCATATTCCAAAGATTAGCCATACATTGTAATTTTTCATGCATTGATCTAGTTTGCTCTTTTTGCACCTTCTGAAGTGTATTTTGATCGATATAGCATTTTATACTTTATATTTGGTATTAATCATTTTATTTTTATCTTTTATTTTGTATTTTCTTTCACTTATGATTAGACAAACACAAAGGGACACTTCTCCCAGTTCAGATGGAACTCGCAATAACTTCTAGTTTTACTTTAGCTTCTCAGACTTTTCTCCTAATGCCTTGGCCTTTTTGGACAAACCCCTTCTTTTCCTCTCTGCCTTTGATTTCTCATCTGCGAGATTAAAATATACGGAATTCTACATCATGTGCTCTAGCATTTAATTTTCAATAAGCTAGCAAACTTACACTTTTCTGTAATAGTTCCGGCAATAAATCTGTAACCTGAACCAGTTTTTCTCCCTCCTTACCATGTGGCTTAATGGTGTAACGAGAAAGCACATCCAACTAGCCATCCGAAGGTCTGGAGTTCGAAGTTCAGCATGGGCACTGCACATTTATCATGTTTTCCAATTCAAAAATTCTATGTAACTCTACAAATTAAATCATTTTTTAGTATCTACACAATCTGACTGCCTTACAAACCATAAAAACCTTCTCAACATAAATTTTTCATTGCTACTTATATTGTTAAGTGGGAAGAGAAAAGCATTACTCACAATTGAAGCGTCTTATAGCTTGATCCCAGATACTGTAGTCCGACTTGTCAGACTATGACATAATAGTCAGATTTACATGTGAAAAGTTATGCAGTTTTATTCAAAGTTTAACTCAAAGAATATGATGCATTGGCTGATCTTTACAATATGGTAACTGGTAGTTTGGCGACATTTTGGAGGCGATAAAGGTTACTACCTGGGACTTTGGTAATAATGTGAGCAGTACTCAGTTCCGATTACGCATTATTTTGTGTGAGGGAAATGAGAGATCATGTGATATGTCATGTGATATTAATGGACGAATTACGGTTCTTTAATCGGAAAAGGGGGGAAATCAGGAAAAAATCTGGAAATTTTGTATTTGCCTTTATTCTGTGTTGTGTGAAACAGTGTTCGTTAATTTTTGGATCCCATGGCCCTAACTAAAGTGAATTCGAAATGGGTATTTAGTGGGATTGAAAGGAGTAGTAATAATTGTTTCTTTAAGGTTGTGCAAGATAGAAGTAAAGATGTTTTATTAAGTTATTTATTTTACCTGGTACCTTGGTGTGAACTATAAGTATGATTTTAAAGATCCTGAAACAGAAATAAAGAAAGTTTATCGGACACGTAATCAAGATTCTGAAGAAGAATAGGTAAGTTAGTATTTTTAATTATTTGAGGATATTATTTTTATGCATTGTTCTAAATGTAAGGTGGAAGTAAAGTAATTTGCGTAAACGTGCATGGAAATAATTTAAATATTTGACACTAAGTATTTGTAACCATTTGTAATGAAGTAAAGGTATGAATTAGTTAGTGACGTTTGTAATAAATTAGATAATGTAGAGGTAAAAGTTTTTGGATATTTTATTTATTTTATACGAGAAAATGTTCATATTTGGAAAGGGTATGTACTTTTTCGCGATCAGGTAATTTCATATATGTTCTTTTTACGGGGTTTAAAGATTCAGAAAATTGTCATGTATTTTCGTGAAATTTTTCTAATTTATTAGAAAAAAGCAGTGTACATGGATATAGTGAAGAGTGTGCGCAATGCCATTTTTGTGCAATTCTGGGATGTTTTTTTAAGTAAAAATAAGTCGACGTGTACATGGTTTAGTGATATTTTAATTAAATGATAGTTATTTTGTGAATTTTATGTTTGTAGGAATTTGGTATACGTTTAAGTTGAAGTAAACGTGCATGGAAATAATTTAAATATTTGACACTAAGTATTCGTAATGCTTGCGGTATGAATTCGTTGGTGACATGTATAATATAATAGATGATTTAGAGGTAAAAGTTTTTGGATATTTTATTTATTTCATATGTGGAAATGTTCATATTTGGAAAGGGTATAAACTTTTTCGCGATCAGGTAATTTCATATATGTTCTTTTTACCGGGTTTAATGATTCAGAAAATTGTCATGTATTTTCGTGAAATTTTTCTAATTTATGAGAAAAAAGCAGTGTACATGGATATAGTGAAGAGTGTGCACAATGCCATTTTTATGTAATTCTGGGATGTTTTTTTAAGTAAAAATAAGTCGGCGTGTACATGGTTTATGTGTGTGTGTTATTTTGAAAAACGCGTAAGGAGTATGGTATTGTGCACTTTTTCCCAATTTTGCAGTGAATATTTGTCATGATTAAGCAGTTTTGTTAGATAAAATTTCTAGCATAAGTGTAATTCGGCTAGTAGATTGTTGGATGAAGTGTTCAGTAGATAAAAAGAAAAGAAACATGTCTTTACTTCGTGAAGACAAAATGGCGGCAGGAAAAAAAAAATAGAGGGTTGCTGTAGGAGAGTTGGTCGGCAAATTTTCGCCAAAAAAACGCCAAGTTACCATAATGTAAAGATCAACTGATGCATTATCTAATATTTTCAGTTCTTAAAAGTTCATCATGTATGTTACACAAACCAATGGAATCAACATCACACCTACCATTGCAGTGTTGAAGTAAAAAGATATTTTTATAAATTTTCTATGCACTTTAAATAAATGCTCATCATGAGGAAATTTAGGCTGATAAACATATAATAAAAATAATTATGATTCAGTACAACAGATAAAAGTATACTTAAAAAAGTAAAACAGATAGTAATATGCTAAGCAATATAGGAACTTTGATTGGCGCCAAATAGCAATATCTAACAAATATCTGCTTGCAAATCAAGCAGATATTTGATTATTATGACGGAATTCTACATCATGTGCTCTAGCATTTAATTTTCAACAAGCTCGCAAAGTTACACTTTCCCGTAATAGTTCCGGCAATAAATCTGTAAGCTGAACCAGTTTCCGGTTCTTATTAACAAATATCTGCTTACAAATCAAGTTCAACTTTCACCATATTCTTTTTGCTTCCTTGAACGAAGTAAAGGAATTAATTACTGTAATCGCGAAAATTTCCGGGTGTCATATTTCAAAGAAAATACCCATTTTGACCACTCTCTAATTCCTCTAAACGATGTTTTTGCATAACATCTGCATCTACGGAAGAAAGGACTCTTTTTCTCAAATCAGATTGACAAGTGGATTTAAAATGGATTCAGAAGAAATTTTTTCGTGACGTTTGTACGTACGTATGTATCTCGCATAACTCAAAAATGAGTAGCTTCGGAACGTTGAAATTTTGTATGTATGACACTTACCTTTTTGACTGCAATCGGCCGCAACAAAAGCATATAAATATATACATGAGCATATATATATATACACCCACTCTGTTACCCGGATCGGTGAGCTCATATTTTTATTCTTATATGTTGGTAAATTGTGTATTTCTTGCTTTAAAAATGATTGACTCATGTTGTTCTTATGTCCCGGTTAAGTATTTTCTGTAGCAATCTTGCTTTTAAGCAAGAAGAAAGATGAGTTATGCCTTTAGTTAATCTGCTTGCAGTAGTTGTTTACGTGCTACTAAGCCTATCGAAGCAGTCATTTGTTTACATTAGAAATTCAGTAGAATAGTGAATTCAGTTTCTGCACATTCAGTATCTTTTTCCCGAGCAGCAGTCTGTACGCCGTTTCCTCCTCCAGTCCGTGAGGCTCGTAAGCGTGACCGTGAGGCTCGTAAGAAGTTGGCGAGTAAGCGACTCAACTTCGGAATTCTTAGACGGGAATTTTTTACTAATTCTGCAGGAAGTATTGAATGTCCTCTTTATCGCAGAATTTGGCGATATAGTTCCTTAGATGATTGTATTTTTTACACTCGTTCAATCTGTGCTCAAAATCATCTCGTACTTGGCAATTTACGCATAAAATGAGTGCTTGAAAGTTTTAACTTGAATTTAACGTAGTTCGTGAGGATACTTCGAGTGAGGATTTTGTTAATTTTACATTCCATTTTCCTTGAGTCGGGCCAATTAATATTTAAGTATTTGGTGTTTAAGACATTTTCAAAATGACAATGATGCTTGGTATTCTGCCAGATGGTTTCAAGTTCCCCTTCCTTGTCTTGTTTAATTTCTTTTTTGATATCCTGCCATGTATAAATAGGAAGGTTCGGAGTATTGCATGAATTAACCGCCTTTTTTACTTAAAAAATCTGCCCTTTCGTTGATCTCGATGCCTTTGTGATCAGGTATCAAGCAAATTATAATCTTACTATTTGGCATATTTTTGTAAATTTTATATCGAATATTCTTAATTATGTTGTTATTTGAATCTTCGAAGGAGGCAATGGCTCCTAATGCCCCAAGTCAGTCGGTGAAAATTATCATCGCTTCGGAAAGGTTTGCTAGATATTTCAACGTGTACCAAATTGCTGAAACTTCCGCGGTGTATATAGAGGCGTTTCTTTCAATTTTGATGGCTCTGTTCACGGTATTTTGTAGATTTGTTATTCCAAATCCGTTTCCGTCCAAGTTTTTGGAACCCCATACGTTTTCTGCTTTGAAATCCGCAGCTACATTTTTGATAAAAGGAACGTAATCAATGACAAAATCATGAAAATTCTTTAAATTGGTGTTACTAAACTTGCTAAAGTTTATCAAAGGCGGAACCCGTGTATTTTGGCGAACGATGTTAATATCTAAAATCCATTTAGATTCATAGCTGTCAAGAACTGCCCTTAAATCCTTTCTGTCTTTCTTAAACCTTCCACCTCTAGTGGTGGGGAAAAAGTGAGCGGCTCCCCGAAATTTTTAATTAATGATGGATAATGTTCTTTGTCATTTTTTTATCTTATTGTAATGCGGAATAGCTGCAATTCTCCTTATAACGTCATTGGGAGCAAAATGTCCTGTCCCTAAGGCTTTTCTAATCGCTTTATTGATATACATATCATACTTATTTTGGGAGAAGAGAGATTCTTCTGACCTAATTTCACATTCGTGTTTGAGTTGGGGAATCATGATCTGCTGGATGATCTTTAATATGTTTAAATATGCCAAATTGTTCTCATTCCTTGAGTAGGGTTGGAGAGGATTTTGATCAAGTGTTATTTAATCTTTTAATCAGATATGCCTCGTGAGTTCGCCAACTGAGGTTGTGTTCGAGTATAACGTTAAGTACTTTATGCTCTTTTTTCCATCCAATACTGAGAGCTCCTATGCTGATGGGGAAAGAGTATTTCTTTCTTCCTCTTGAGAAGTTAATGAGTGTTGATTTCTTGAAGGAGAAAGCAACCTTGGTTTCAGCAGACCAGCTAAGGATCTTCTTAAGGGTATCTTGTAAGCAGAATCCCGGCTGTTCTTCCTAACAGTAACATGCGCGTAGATATCATCAGCGTAAATGAAAAGCTTGGTACTCCTATCATTCAGTCTACAAAAATCCAACAAGAAACAATTGTAGAGGAAAACACATGAAATTAGAAAATATCATCATCAATTCGAGGAATTTCCTCTTCTTGAAGCGTGTTTGGCCCATCATTCCAAGATATCAGGGGACTAGCCTGATCAGTAGTATTCAAATTAGATGTTCTGTTTGAAGGTTTTCATATGCAAGGCAGGTCTTTGATAGATCTTCTTTTATTTTTGGATCTGTTTTAGGGAGTTTTCATACACGCTTCTAAGTTGTGTATTTTCAGTTTTAAATTTATTATTGGCTTCCTTAAGATTTAAAGTATTTACATAGAGAGAATCAATTTTCCATTCGAGATTTTCTAATCTTGCGACTATCTTAAAACATTTTCCCCTGACTTTTCCGATACCGAGCCTTTAGCATTTATATTTGTGTGGGTGCTAGTAGAGTTTTTTTCTTCCTCTTTCTGGACTGCTTCTGCCCAGGAAGAATAAGTGGGAGTCCGGACAGATTTCTTCGACGAAGATTCACGCTTCTGACCGTTCACGTCCCTTTTTTTTAAAATTTATTTTTGGGCAAGATTTGTCAAAAGCATTGTGCTCATCTCCACATCTAAAGCAAATGGTATTATTTTTACATGGGTCGTTGCCAGTGGCGTAGCTAGGGTGGGGCAAGGGGGGACATCTGTCCCCGGGCGCAGCATCCAAGGGGCGCCAATTTGATGATACACCTTTCAGAATGAAATGTTTTCCATTCTTGGAACACAGAAAGGGGCGCAAAATCTTTAGGTGTCCCCGAGCGCTTAAAATCTTAGCTACGCCTCTGGTCGTTGCAGTCATTTTCACCACAGTTCGCACATCTCGCTTTGCTTTTGCAAAGTTTCGACTTATTGTGGCCTATATTACAGCACTTGTAGCACATTACGGTATTTTCAATATATTTGGATACCGCAAAATTAATTCCACCTATTTTGACATCAGACCGATTACAGGAAAAGTTCCTTAATCAGAATTATTGGCACCTTTTCGTCCGACCTTGGCTTAGTGAATCTTGCATGAGAATTTAATTTCACTTTCTTCTAGACCGGCTGCTAGATCTTCTAAACTGAGTATCAACATTCTTAACTACATGTTTAGTTGTGTACGTATTTTCAATTATTGAGGCCTTTACTCCGACACTTTCCAAGGATTTTAATTTACAGACTTTTCCTACAGTTTTGATTCTTTTCGTGGAAATGATGATTTCTTCCCCTCTCGTGATATAAATATTATCTCCTTTATCAGTAATTTCCTTTAGGATAGAACCTTTTTTAAGCAACTTACCAACCGGGATCCCAGATTCAATTCCTTTCAAAACAATTTTTACGTCTTTTGTGCCATTTTTGAAGGCCATTTTGACATTATGAATAGCGATAGTGTCCGCGCTATAAAAGTTCCCATTTGTTTTCCTCTCTTTATTGCTGCCACTATCCATGTCATCATCTGGTTTACGCTTAAGTTCACTAGGCATAATCCCAAACAATTCTTCTGGAATCGGAATACATTCGAATCAATTTAAATTACCAGTAGTAAATATATACAGATAAACCCCTAACTAAATCACACTTTGCCATCACCAAAGACACACCAAGTTTACTATTATTAGTATTTTTTTACCGCGTGGGACCAAAAGTAAATGTTCAGTTCTGTGCACCGAAAAATCGGCCTTCTTGGTCGTTGGCCGAATTGCATGTTTTTGCGTAGAATTTCTAATTTTATTTGAGAAAAAAAGAGGGGGGGGGAACTGTAACCGTACTGTTTTAATTGTATTTGGTGTTTTATGTTTTTCTGCATTTTACAATTTTTAATGAAGATGTTATGAATTTTTGTGTGTTTTTGCCTTGCCACGAAGTGAGAAATTAATTGAATGACAAATATATCTCTAATGAAATTCGAAGAAATAAGTTGCAATGCAGCAAAAAATGTGTATAATTTAATAGGCCGTACAAGGAAATCATGTGGTGTCCACATCAGATTTTTTAAGTATGCGTTCAATCGTAAGTTACATGTATTCCAGCATCCGACATGCTACGCATTTGTTACTTTCTTTATGAGTCCCTTGTAATCGCCATATAACTGAAAGGAAGCTGTACGATCTTCTCAGAATTGTCAGTTACTGCGAAAAGTTATGGTAATGCTGTAATTCTCGTGCTTTGATTCGCATGCATGGACAATTCTTGAATTTTCCCGAACACAAATCTTAAAAAGATCCTCGAATCTTTTGAATCTCAGAACTTCATGGAATAATAAAAAGGGAACAAATACCGTAATACCAAAAGGTTTTAATGAAAGCCAAATTTGAAATATACATTTAATGTAAAACAAAATTTCAGAATGCAAATTTTTAAATACATCTAAGTTTACTAAAAAGATACTAATGAAAATTAGAAGATAAAGTACCTTATTAGAAATATAGAATTTTAATGTAGTTTGACAACTAATATTTAAGTACCACTCCTTCAAACATTTTATATTTTGCAAGAACCCTTTTAAATTAATCTGTAGTATAAATATGAGAGGACTTAAAGAGTTAACAAGGGGAAAAATAAAGAAAAAAAAAAAAAAAAAACACTACACAAACAAGGAATGCTAAATTCTACCCGGAAATTTATGCAAGTTAACAACTTGTAACAAGCGCGTTTTTCAAACGAATCATGTTAATAAAATTATCTTTCCGAAATTTTCAATTTGAGCATTTAGAGTGAGTTTTCCTAAATTAGGATACGAATGACGGAAAAAGTAGTAAAATCTACTTTTCAGATTTCAATTTTTTTCTCCCGAGTCCCCAAATGTTTCATCCCCAACTGAAAATCTACATTTCTCAAAAAAACGTGTTGTAGAAGCACAACGTTGAAAATGCAAGCAGACGATGAAAATGAGAGTAAGAAATCGATTTTATATAGGTCCCATTTATGCCAATTATACACACGGTGTATTTAGTGTTGCAGATATACACATAAATAATCAGCTAGAGATAATTTTATGCTTTATGTAACAGCCTGCTCATGTAAGGATTCGAAACTTGGAATTTAAAATACACCTAAACAAATAAATGCAATAGTTGCCTCAGAACACGACACATGTCATAATTTTAACCTTCAAGAGAAACTTGTCTGAGATGTGTAGTAGCATTCTAATCCTGCGTAGTGCCAATACCCCCCCTTTTAGATAGTTACATTCTTCGAGGTGT